GGACAAGTAAAATATTTGTCATCATCAAAAGCATTTTAGAGAAATTATTGTATAATCGATTTTCGGAAAAATATTCCCGCAGCGATAAGATATTAAAAAAAATTACGTTCAAAGTCCGGGATGAATTTATTTTCCAATAATTCAATCAACATTATTATTATTATTTTTCTTTCTGGACCATTAGCTATACTTATTAATTATATTAAAATTAAAAACCTTAAAAAAAATACTTGAAAATACGTATTTATAATATAGGTAGATTAAGATGATATTAAGAATAATAAAATGTACAAAATTACTTCAGGGCAAAACACTTTCATGTAACTGACAAGTGACTGCCACAACATTTTAATATAGACTACTTTGAACGCATATAATTAACAAGTATGCATAAAACATTGAATCTTGATTCTAATCTCGCCATCATTGAGATACTAGAGATATAATTCTTTTAAAGATACGGCTCGTTGTGAATGAATCACTTATAACCGAATGATTTAATAATAAAATCGTTTAACTTTATAAATAATAAAGTATTTTCAAAAATAAAAAATTTTTTAAAGCATTTAAGCAATATCAGAGCGAAAATAAATTGTACGACGAGAATAACGATGTAACGTGAATAATCTTATTTAATATGAATAAAAAAAATTAAAAATCTTATTCTGTGAATAAGCTTCGTTCACAATAACAGAATTTTTTGCCAATTGAAAGGAAATTTTTTAATTTAACTAATAAATTGAAACTTTCGCATAAATTGACAACTAATAATAATTAATAAATTAAAATTTTTTGACATAATTAGAATTTTACTGCTTATTAATAACTAATTGATTAGTTAATTAATTAGCAACAACTAATTAATAAATTAAAACTTTCAGTCATATTTAAAAGTTCACTATAAATATTTATAGTGAACTTTTAAATATGACTGAAAGTTTTAATTTATTAATTAGTTATTGCTAATTAGTAAAAATGTTTACTAATTTGAATTAGTGACTGACTTTTTGCTTTTGAATTAGTTAATTCTTTACTAATTAATTAATTTGGTTAAATACGATTTGTCAAAACTTTCGAAAATATTTTGAAGTTATCCGTTTATTAATAATTAAGAAATAATTAAAAATTGATTAATTATTAATAAATTATTAAGAAGTAATTAATTATTAATTAAAGACTAATTAATTATTATTAAGAATTAATTAATTATTCATTAAAGACTAATTAATTATTATTAAGAATTAATTAATTATTAATTAAAGACTAATTAATTAATAATTACTATTAATTATTAATAATTAATTAATAATTACTATTAATTAATAATAATTCATTATATTTTACGAGTGATCTGTCACTTTGAGGTTATGCGAATATAGTTCTAGTTAAAGCCTATAAATTTTTCTAACTTTATATCGAAAAATGTATAAATTCGGTGAATTCAAAAACGTATATTATATAAACGTCACGTTTATTTTAAAAATTTCCGAAACAATTTTAGTGCAATAAAGTTATTTTCTCCAGACTGCGAAGAGGTTAATAAGTTACGTTAATTTCATAAATACTGGACAGCAAAGGGTACATTTCATACATTTAACGAGCGTTGAATGATGTCATGAACTATATTTACGATTCGGACTCAAAACTCTTTCAGGATAATGTAATTATTATAAAACATATTATATTATTCGATTATATTTATTCATATCAATAATATATATTTATAATATTCTATTTATATTAATTATATAATAATATAGTACCTATTATTACTTTTTGTATTATTTTAAATAATAGTTAATAATGTAATATAATTATTTATATAATTATAATAATTATAATAAAATAATATAATAAATATTTGCCTTTTGTTAAAATGACCCTACAGTATTGAACATTCAAATGAACGAAAGTTATTTATTTTTTATTAAAATTAAATTTTGATAACAATAATTTTACGTCATTATAAAAAAAATATAAATTATAAATTATAAATAAAAAATATAAAAAATAAAAATCGTAAATAATATTATAATTTTATAAGAATATAAATATTATAGGTATAATATAACTAATAGTTTCCAATAATGTTAAATTTGAGTTAACCTATTAAAGATTAAAGTAAAATCTTTAATGTGTCTAAGTATGCAAACGATATATCAGCGAAAATCTATAAAATCTTATGCCAAGATAAATGAATGTCGTTTTCAATTTAATGAAATTTATTGTTGCAATTTCCTAGTATAATTTCAACTGTTGTCATCGAGTGATGTTATACATACACGAAACTGTCTTATTTCTTCGTATCCTACTTTTGGCCAGACCGTCGATTGCAAATTCAAGATTTAACTTGAATTAATCATCAGTTTCTAATTTTTGACATTTGAACTTATTGTTGGTGATTCCTCGAAGAATGGAAATCTTGTGCCAACACTTGTGTCTCACATCACTCATCAAATATAGACTTTGAAATGTTATATACAGAAATTTGTTCATCGTATATATTTTTAAAAATATATCATCATTATACTTTTAAAGACTATCAAATTTATGAAAATATAATAAATTTACAAAAATACAAATTTGTAAAAATATGTAATTTACAAAAATGATAAATTTTTAAAAGCAATAAATTTTTATAAATGTAAAAGTTTGTAAAATATATCAAAATTTATAAAAATGATAAATTTATAAAAACAATAAATTTATAAAAAATAACAAATTTGTGAAAATAACGAAATTTTAAAAATAATACATTTAAATAAAAATAACAAACTTGTAAACATAGGAAATTTATAAAAATGATAAATTTATAAAAAGTAACAAAGTAAAAATACCAAACTTTTAAAAATAATAAATTTAATTAAAAATAACAAATTAGTAACAATATCCAATTTATACAAATAATAAATTTGTAAGAATATAAAATTTATAAAAATGGTAAATTTATAAAAATATCCAATTTATAAAATTAATAGATTTTAAAAAATATCAAATAAATTTACAAAAATAAAAAATTTGTAAAAATATCAAATTTGTAAAAATATCAAATTTGTAAAAATAAAAAATTTGTGGAAATATTTAAATTTTAAAAATAATACACATTTAAATAAAAATAACAAATTTGTAAACATAGGAAATTTATTAAAATGATAAATTTATAAAAATGACAAATTTGTAAAAATATCCAATTTATAAAATTAATAAATTTGTAAAAATATCAAATAAATTTATAAAAATAGCAAATTTGTACAAATATCAAATAAAATTACAAAAATAACAAATTTGTAAAAATATCAAATTTATAAAAATGATAAATTTATAAAAACAATAAATTTATAAAATTAACAAATTTGTAAAAATAAAAAATTCATAAAAATGATAAATTTATAAAAATAAATTTAAAAAGACGATTTATGATGTAAAATGACAGAAGTCATAAATTCATGATATCAAAGATATTGTGAAAAAAGAATAAAAGAATTATAAAGATATGAAATTTTATTCTTACAATATTAAAGTACGATTGGAATAGATACTAACAGACACTGGGAAATAAAGACATTCAGAATCTTTTTCAACCATTTTGAATATATATGTATATGAACCTAATCACTATCTATTCATTCCTAACCCTTCACAATTTCTTGTTTCTCGAGGATTCGTGAGTTTTTCAAGGACGAGATTCGTCTGCCTTTACAGCTAATACATACCCTCTACATATATATGTATATGCAGTCCCATCCAGTCCATTTCAAAATTCATGACCGCATACAATAAAAAAAAAAACATAACACTAAATGGCCTATTTTTCACTTGAAACGAGTTTTTTCTATTTTCTCTCCAAAACTGTATCATTTGCCACAAAAAATTCTGCATTGAATCAAACTCTTTAAACACAATGAAAAAAGTAATCGTAATTTTCCAATTTTCCTAAAAACTTTTAAAGATTTTTCTGCAAAGATATAGTAACACGCTCTGAAATTTACTAAATTATAGGTTATGTTTGGTAGAAATTGTTTTACCTCGATTCAAGATTCCTTTCTGTAGATTTAATTTCCACTTTTCTTATTTCCATTGTCTCAAAAGTGTTTAATAGGGACGAGGAACTGTTTTTGATTATACAAAATAAACTCTCTGGTGTTTTTTTCATTGAAATAAAGGATTTATTGTCAGGAGGAATTGTCAGATTGGACGCCAAGCGAGAACTGAGAGTTACGATCTTTGCCGCTAGAGGGGAGGGTTCGCAATGTGCGACAGAGGATAAAGAAGAAATCCCTTATTATGCGAAACATTGTCAAGTTGTAAATTTAACTTGTTTTACACTGGAAAAAAGCCTAATGTTAATTAACAATGTATTATTTTGGAAATTTCTCGCTTTACGAATAACATTTTACTATGTTACAGACCGAATGTTAAATTAACAAACCGAGTATCTAAAATAACCAGTTTTACGTAACTTTTAAGCAAATAATGTATAAATTAATATATTATTTCAATAAAAAACATGACACTAAATGGAGTACTTTTCACTTGAAACGTGTTTTTTCTATTTTCTCTCCAAAACTGTATCACTTGCCGCAAAAAATATTCCGTATTGAATCAAAATTTTTAGACACAAAGAAAAAAGGGGAAAAGGGAATCGAAATTTTCCAATTTTCTCCACTTTTAGAGAATTTTCTGCAAAAATATAGTAACACGCTCTGAAATTTACTAAATTACAGGTTATGTTCGCAAGAAATAGTTTTACCTTGATTGAAGTTACCTTTCTGTAAATTTAACTTCCACTTTCCTTGATTCCACTGTATTCGAAATGTTTTAGTTACCAGGAGCTGTTTTCGATTATAAAAAATAAACTCTTTGCTATTTTTTGATTAAAAAAAAACGATTATTGTCAGGACAAATTGTCAGATCGAACGCCTTGGCCTTGGCGAGTGCTGGACTGCTGGCGAGTACTGTGCAGTACCGTGAGAGTTACATTCCTCGCCGCTAGAGGGGGGTAAGTTCGCAATGTGCGACAGAGGGTAAAGAAGGAATCTTTAATTATGAATCATAAACATAACCTGTAAATTTAACTCGTTTTTGCTCGTTTCTTACATTTCTTTCCTCACAATTTCGTCTCCTTTCCTTTCAGAAGGAAATACGTTTTTTTAAAAGGAAAAAGTTGCTAAAAGTGCCGAAACTTCAGAAATTACAGTGTTACAGTTATATTAATTCCTTTTGAGAGAAAAGAATATTTTGAAAATGTAACAATAAAAAACAGTGAAAACAAGGCAATCAACAAATCGCAAATGCAGAAACGATTATCTTTTTTTTTGTTACAATTATTGATTACAATTGTGTGATGGAAACAATTATTATTTGTTATAATTGTACGGAAAAAACAATGTTTTAACAGGGATGGAGTTATAAAGATATTTCTAAAGTGTAAACAAGGTATGTTTCCAAAGATGTCGAGACCTTGTGAATGAGGAGAATGAAAAACGAAGATATGTATGGTATGGGTATCAATAAATTTCATTTTATCAGCTGCTCCATAAATTTGTACTCTAGCTTTTGTTGCTCAATGATGCATGCAAGAACCGTACTATATATACTTTGGTGCAGTCAAGTAACAATAATTTCACTATTTTCTTTTAAATCCTTTTAACCATTTTAGGTTTTTTCATCACATGTGGGAATAATAAAGGGCGAAAAACGCCGTATTTGGTCATCTGTTTTTACTACTACTGCTTCTGCACTAATAACTAGTGCCACTATTTCTAGAACAACTAGTCCAACTTCTACCACTTCCCTGCCGTAAGGATAGACTGAAAAAGTACTGAAATTGTACTATTTTAATTGTTATTTTGACGATATTCTCGAATTTGTCGATCGAGACTCGTTCGACATGTAAAAGTTAACAAAATTTTCAACCAAATTCCCGTTAAATTTTTATTTAAATTAAATAAATTGTATTTGGACCAGTAATTTTAGTATTTAAGGCAAAATAATATTTTATAAATAAATATAATATTATTAAGTCCATTATTATAATTTATTCATATAAATAAAAATTATTTGATATTTCTAAAGTTCTTAAAGTTTAAATAAACGAAATTTATTTATTTTTTCTTTAAATTAAATATTTATTACAGTAATTTTGCTTCACTATAAAAGGAAATTAATTTCAAAGTTTTTAGATGTGAAATTAAATTTTTTATTTTTTATTGTAATCAGTAATTTTTGAAAATATTTTTAACCGAAAATATTTCGAAGATTTGAACGTTCAAAATTTGTTGATTAAATAATATTCGATAAAAATAAATTTTTCTAGTGTTTATTATAAATAAATATAATAAAATTCTTTGCAAAACTTCAATTATTTTTATAAATAATAAAATTTGCATAGTAATTCAACTATTTTTAATAGAATTTTCTTAAAATTTTTCAAAATTTATCAATTATTTAAAATATTTTAATAAAACTGTTCAAAATAAATTAATTATTTTCAAAAAAATATATATTCTTGGCAGAATTTCAATTATTTTCAATGCAATTTTAACTGTATTCCTCGGAAAATTCAATTATTTTAAAAAATATTTAAATTTCTCCTCGAGAATTAAAATATTAAAAAAAATTAATTTAATTCTTTCCAAAAATTATTTCTAATAATATTTATTAAAATTTGTTTATATGAATTCAATTATCCTTAATATTGTACTTCAATTTCTCGAAAAAATTCAATTATTTTCCAAAATTTTAATATAAAAATATTTAATTATTTTCAAAAATACTAAAATTTTTCCTGAGAAATTCAAATATTTAAAAAAAATTAATACTATTATTTCACAAAAATTCAATTATTATTTTGATACATAAATATTCTTGGCAGAATTTCATTTATTTTTAAAAATACTTAAATTTCTCCTCAAGAATTAAAATACCTATTAAAAAAAATTAATTTAATTCTTTGCAAAAATTCATTGATTTTACAATTTTAATTATATTCCTCAAAAAATTCAATGATTTTAAAAAATTTTGATTAGAATTCTCAGAAAGAATTTAATTACGTATTTTCAAAAAATTTGATAAAAAGATAAAATTATTAAACTCTTAAATAATAAATCATTATTAAATGATAAAATTCTTCATGAGAATTAAATTTTAGAAATCTTTAATTATTCTATAATTTATTTATTTTTATATTATCTCTTTTATAATAAAAGAAATTTATATTTGTATTTAATTTAAAATTTTAGAAAATAGTTGGTCACTGATTCAAATAGTAATAAAATAATCAATAATAACTAATTATTAGTTAATTTAAATTTTAAGTTAAGAGAAAATGAAAATTTTGGTATGATCCTAAAGCTCTGAACGTTCAAATGAACGAAATTTATTTATTTTCTTCTTTAATTTAAATATTTATTACAATAATTTTTTGTCGGTATAAAAAAATGAATTATAAAGTTTTTAAGTGTAAAATTTAAGTTTTTAATTTTTATTGCGAACAGTTATTTATAAAAAGTGTTTCGTTCATTTGAACGTTCAAAACTTGTGGATCATAATTTTGGTAACAAATTCAGTGAGTCGAATTTGACTATTTTTGTATTTATTTACTAATAATTAGTAATTATCTACTATTAACTATAGTTATTTTTTACTAATTGCTGAAGCAAAAAAACAACCATGATTTTACCAATGTAATTAGTTATTTTTAACTAATTCAGATTTAGAGAGATAATATAATATAATAATGACAGTTATTATAATATAAATATTATAATTAATTATGATATAAACATTTATTAGATAACACATTATATAACCCAATAAATATTTAAATCCATTATTTTTCAGTTAAATTTCCCCGGGGTGCATCTATCATCTACAATTAAGGATCATACATTTCCATCCGTACGATTAAAAGTCATAGATTGATTCTACTTAATGTCTTGAACCCGCAACAAATTTACTGATATATACGGTCGCTCTCGAGTAATTCAAATTATCATAATATTATACTGCCATAACCATATAATCAAAAGTTGTATACATACACGTCATATCACAACGTATAATCTTCAATTATTTTATAGATATACAGACTCTTGAACTTTTTTTTACAAACTTGATCGTGAACGCTTCATCATATGCGATCCGGGAGGACTCAAACTTGTCTTATTCGAAGTACACTACTATTCTTCGCAACGATTACTCTTTACAGAAGAATAAATTGAATATTTAAATGATTTTGAAAAAAAATTCTGTGGCATAAGTCCCGCTAAAGGTATAATATTGCATCAAGATTCATACATATAGATGCATTCGAATATTCACGATGAGTGGAACGAACGATAAAAAAACGATCATTACAAAATTAAAGGGAAATAGAGAAAAGAACAAGAAAAAAATAGAAAAGAAACATAAATATTATAGAGATTTTTTAATGTTAATGTATACTCATTTAATCAAATAGATTTAAATTTCTTTATTTTTTTTAGATTTCGATTTATTTCATTTTTCCATAAAGTTTCGAACGTTGAAATAAACGAAATATTTTTTTTCAAATTACTGAAAAATACTGTAACTGAACATTTATTTTGCTAAAATTTATTTTTTCAATTATGAAAAATAATATTTCGTAAATAAAATTTTAATTAAAAGAAGTAATAAAAATATCGCCGAAAAGCAAAATTAAACATTTTGAAACTTTATAAACTAATTTTTAATGTTTGACTCAAAATTATTGTGATGGTTGATATTAATAATAATTAATTGTAAATTCTCGCAAATTTTATTTTTTTAAGAACGTGTCACATTATGCGAGAAAGTAAACAGCACCTAATTGATTTTTATACAATATGCAAAAATAGAAATGATAGAATAATGAGAAGAAGAAAAAATGAAATGTAAATATTCTGTATTTTTAAAAGCCAAAAGTGATGTAATTCATTTCTATTAAAAAATATTACCATGACAGATTATCATTTAAAGTAATTATAGAAACTAAAAGAAAGAAAAAATCGGACATCTAAAAGTGTCGACTATAGAATTTAATACATTCTTATCATAATAATTGAACTCAATTATTTATTCCCGCACTCATCAAATACGTAAAATATAAAATATATTCTTATTTTAAACTCACACTATTATATTCCCGCTTGTCATAGTTGTCAGTTTGAATTTTTATGGTGTCGCATTTGACTGCTATGCACAAAGTATATTAATTCAGTTGAAAACTATTGGCCTCAAGGCACAGAAATAATACTTCCTGCATATATATGTATATTACTTCTCTTCTGCACAGGTACATTCAACCTGCTGCATATAATCTTCAAATACATTTTATACTTTAATATTAATATTAATTTTTTTTAATATTTTATTTATTAACTTTTTAATATAACTTTTTTGATACTAATTTTATAGAATTAATTTATTAGTATTAATTTATTAATATTAATTTATTAATATTAATATATTTATATTAATTTATTAATATTAATATACCTATTAATATCAATTTTTCAACATTAATATCATAAATTTAATAATATTAATTCTTTAATATTATTAATACACTCAAAAAAAAATTTATTGGATTAAAATAACCGATTTCGAAAAAGAAATAAATAAATTTCGTTCATCTGAAGATTACAATAAAAAAATATTGGCATTCATTTGAACGTTCAAAAACTGTAAGGAAAATTTCTTATTGATCTTTTTGAAAATGAGTATACATTAGCACTAAAAGAAATCTATAATATCTATTTGCATATTTTTATTTTTAACCACACATTTCATAACTGAAGAGACGTTCAAATATTACGTAATATGATTTTTCTCCAAATTTTATAATTCTGTCTTTTATTCTAATACAGAAAATACACACACGCACAAATAGTCTATGTCTAAATTATTGTATACTAAAAAAAAATTTATTTGTTTATTAAATAACCGATTACTTATCTATTATCAAATAAATATTTAATTGAATCAAATAATTTTTATTTAAACCAAATGAATTTTATTTAAATAAAATAAATTGTAACTATTTCAAATCAATTATTTCCGTATTTAAAGCAAATACCATTTTATTCATATAAATAAAATTTATTTGATTCAAGTAAATATTTATTTGAAATAATAATAGATAAATAATCGGTTATTTAAATGAAAACAAATTTTTTTCAGTGTAAGGAGAATAACTTAAAATCCAAAACTAAAAAATATTTAATGCCAAATAATGTAGTAATAGTATTATTGCTATTAATAATTAATTATTATTTAATAATTTAACTATTTAATAGTAAATATATAATTTCTTCAAAATTATTTTCATCATTTCAATTCAATTATAACTTTCTACAATATTTAACTAAAATTCTTCTTTAAATCAATTATTTTTAATAATTTTCGAAATAGTGCTTTGAGAATTTTCAAATTCATTTATTTACAATATTTAATTTTACGAAATTTCAGTTATTCGTAAATTCTTCAATTAAATATATGTGACGCTCCACGAGAAAAGGGAACTTATTTACTCTTGTCATAAGGTCCCTTTTCTCGTGGAGCGTCACATATATTAGAAAATAAAAATTTCAAATTGTTATCTTAAATTTTAACTAAAATTCGTTTTTAAATCAATTTTTATTAGAAATTTCTACAATAATTAAATTATATTAATACAAAAATAATTTATTGAATAATTGAATGCTTCTTAAAATTCAATTCTGGTAAAGAATTTTATCAACAAATTTTTAAATAATTGAAATGTTTTGACGAATTTTAATAAAATTTTTAAAAATACCTAATTACATTTTTCTGAGGAATTTGATTAAAATTACATATATATTAAAAATAATTAAAATTCTGTGATTATTTGTGAAAATAAATAAATTTCTAGAAAGAATCTTATTATTTACAAAAATAATTGAATTTTAAAAAGAATTTACTTTTAATGTAAATAATTAAATGTTTGCGTAGAATATTAGGTATATTAAATTTTTTTACGAAGTTGAAGTCCACAACGTTTATCAACGAAAAAAATTTATTTAATGCATTCAAGTATTATTTTTAATTTAATTTTTAATTGTAAAATAATTATTATCAAAATATAAACACCAATTTTTTTTTCTAAATATTTTTGTGTCAATATTTATGCGTCATTTTTAATTAATTTACTAAGTGAACAATTTTTTTTCGTTGATCAACGTTGTGGACTTCAACTTGGTATTTTTTTTTCAATAATTGAATTCTTTTGGAAAATATGAATAGTAAATATTAAAAATCATTGGAGTGAGGAAAATTATTGAAAGTAATTTAAATTTTTTCAAGAATTTTATTAAAAAGTTTTTGAAACTAATTGAATTTTTTTAACGAATTTTATTACATTTTTTCATATAATTATTGAATTCCTGTGAAAAATTATATTTGCAAAAATAATAATTGAATTCTTGCGAAGGATTTTATTAAAATTTTTGTAAATATTGTTCTTTTATAATTTTATGAAAATTTAAAGGAATAATTCAATTATTTCGAATAATTTAATTAAAATGGTACTAAAAATAATTGAAATTCTGCGATTATTTATGAATAATAATTGAATTCATAAAAAGAATTATATTTTTTATGGAAATATTTAAATGTTTGCGTAGAATTATATTAAAATTTTGTTTTAAATAATTGAATTCTTTAGAAAATTTTATTAAAATAGTAGATATATTGAAAATCATTGAATTGGGGAAATTTTTTGAAAATAATTGAATTTCGGGGAAGAATTTTATTATTTATAAAAATAACTGGAATTTCGACTAGAATTTTTAAAAATTGTTGAACATAATTGAATTTGAACTATTATTAATATTATTATTATTTTTATTGATATTACTATATTATTATTATTATTATTATTGTTGTTATTATTATTATAATTATTTTTTATTATTATTGTTAATACTACGTTTTATTATTGTTGTAAAGTATGAAGGTAAATAGAATAAAAAAAAATAGTAAATTAAAAAAATACTGATAGGGAAATCAATTTTCACGTACAATGAAAAAGCCAAAATTTTCATTTAGAGAGGGAGAGAAAGGGAGAAAGAGAGAGAATATTTGACAATTGAGTTTTTTTTAACAAAAATAACAAAGGGGTGTGATTGCCTTTTGACCTATGAACCGCAAAACGTACATGTCACGGGATAAGATCGTAATACCTCGTGTCGGATTTTCTGTTTGTCCCACTCTTTCCCCCTTTTTTTTTATTTCATTGCCTCTTCTTAACAGACGCATGAGTGCGCGCAAACCTGTTTGACTCGTCGCCCACACGACCATACATGAACTTCTTTCTCTCCCCCTTTCGAAAAAAAATTGATTAAAATACTTTAAAATCCATATAGTTCAAGAATTATTCCAATATCCTTTTTTTATGATTTTAAAATTTACCTTTCACAAGGCAAAATAATATTTAGAATTCATTGAACTGAATTCTCTCTCTAAGCTCGGTTACTATTTTCAGTTGTGTATTTAAATCGCGGCTTTTTCTGCTTTTGAATCAGTAAACTACTGTAAAACAGTAAATAACTGATAAGAAGAAAAATATTGTTTATCAGTCAACTACTTTTAATCAGGTGGGAAATCAGTCAACTATACAGCTGTTAATCAGGTAGACAAAAAAATTAATATACTGTAAATCAGCGAACTGCTGTTAATCAATAAAATATTTTCATTCAATATACTACAGTTAATCAATAAAAAATTGTTAACTTAATAAATTGTTAATCAGTAATCTACTGTTAATTAGTAGATTACTGTCAATCAGTAAATTATTGAAAAAGCATTGAAATACTAAAACCAGCAAATTACTGTTAAGGTTAATTAATAATATTTTATTAATCTTAATAAAAAATTTTTTTAAATTGTCAATAAATTATTGTAAACCAGTGAACTACTGTTAATCAGTAAATTACTGTAATTACCATTAATTAATTAATTAAATTAAGTAATTTCATTAATATATACTGTAATTACTGTAAATCAGCAAGATATTGTTAATCAATAAAAAATTGTAATCAGTAAATTACCGCTAAACAGTAAATCGCTGATTCATCAGTAAAAAATTTCTATATAACAATAAATCAGTAAATTTTAATAAATATAATATTTAATTTTATAATAAATTCATTTTTATTAATCCATTAAATAAATAATAAATAAAGCGCATAATAATTTCGTGGAAAGAAATACTCGTGCAATATATAGAATTTGTCATTCTATATATTATAGAGACAGGCGGCGTTACCTGACCAAGCATCGAAGTTTCCACGAGAATAGACGAGATTCACAATACTTCGATAATACTGTCAAAATTACGTT